CTGTGGATTTTGCAATCCTTTGGGCATGGAGTATGTTACTTTAGCATTGTTCTCCTAGAATTTGCAATTCTGATACAGGTGGGAATTGGAGGGGTTTTTTGTCTTGTTGAGGGGTTTGCTTTGAATAACTTCTTTGGGAGAAGGTCTTCAGCGGATTATGTGCTTCTTGAAGTACTGCATAGAAATTTAGTCAGCATGAAGTCAGAGACTTGGGAATTCATCTTGCACCTAAGAAATGGAAGTTTTGTGACCATTCCTCTCCAGGGAAGAACGCAATCATCAACACCTTGCATGTCGAGTTGAGACAGCGTTACAGGGAGCAAGGTTGCCTGGGAGCCTGCCAGGAGGCATAGCAAAAACTCTTAAAACCGACGTGTGTTTTGAGTGGAGAGACTTGTGTCTGTATGAACAAGAGGTGTATGAGGGGGATGACGTAGCAGAGATTATTTCTGGGAGGCAGGAATTGGTGCTGCTGCAACACTTAAGGATTCTTAATGAGGCAGTAGTTATCATTTCTGGGCATGGAAAAAAGGGTATAATTCCTGTCTTATAATCAGGAGGCTGAATGCACTGTTTTGCTAAGAGTTTCCTAGGAGTGCTTCGTTGCATGCTTGCTGGTTTGTCAGATAATGAGAGCAGTGAAAGTGTTTTGTTTTGAAAGGTAATCTTCAAAGAATGAAATTCTCAGTGAACCTCACATTTGTAAGAAATCAAGATAATTAGCTTTTAGAATAGAATAGACTATTTCAGTTGGAAGGGATCTACAACGATCATCTAGTCCAACTGCCTGACCACTTCAGGGCTGACCAAAAGTTAAAGCATGTTATTAAGGGCATTGTCCAAATGCCTCTTAAACAGTGACAGGCTTGGGGCATCGACCACCTCTCTAGGAAGCCTGTCCCAGTGTTTGACCACCCTCTTGGTAAAGAAGTGCTTCCTAATGTCCAGTCTTTTGACCTTCCAAAAAAAACCCAACCCAAAACCAACAAAACCCTAAAAAAAAAAAAGAAAGAAAAAAGAACACCAGAATTTGGCTGTTTGACTGAATATGTGGATATGGCATAATCATTTCCAGTAGACAGAAGGTGGTTTTGGAGGGGGTCGTCCTATGCAGAACAAGACTGGCAGGACCAAGGACTTGTTATTACGACAGGAAAAACTGGCCCCAGGATAGAGTTTAACTTGGGCTATCATGCTGTTTACACTTCTCTGCAACGTAAACCTGAGAAGTTTCTGAGCTGAATACGTCCTGTTGGCCCTCCATTCTTTACAGGTTTTCTCTAAGTTAAGGTTGGAGTGAATCCGTACAAAACACTTAAAGTCTGAAGTCTTATGTGATAGTGAATGTTCTTTTGTCGTGATGCAGTGGTACATGGAAATTCTCAAAATTAGAATGTATGGAAAAGCAGATGGGCTCTGATCAAGAAAACCATAAATTATAAGTCTCTTGGTGTGTATTACCTCGTGGTTTGCTTTAGTTTTCATTTAGACCAGCTTTAGAAAGTTAATATCAACCGTTAAACCTTTTAGGCTATCTTCCCCCCTCTTTTTTTTTTTATTTTTTCATCTGGTTTAGAAGTGAATAAAAGAGCTTTGTACAGTTCTTGAAACTGAGCCTGAAACAGCTCTGAACAAACTATAGTGTTCCTTTCAAAATCTTGGAAATAATTACATCATAGGCAAATTGGGCCAGAAACCGTTAATAGTATTCTTTGTGGAATGAAATCCCATGGGAGAACCTATTTCAGCAAACTGGCATTGTTTACAAATAGATACAGTGGCAGATACAGTTGTCCCATTCTGAGGGACAGCTGAAACTCTGTGCCCTATAATGGACTTCACAGAATGACCGTCTTGCTTTTGATAACAAGCTGAAAACGTGCCTTGGTGCTTCTGTGGTCAGCCTCATGCCAGTGGTCTCAGGGAGTGAAGGCTGTCTTTGGCACTGCAAAAGTATGTTAGGTGGGTTAAAGAGAAAATAAAAGCCTCTGTTGCCATAAGCTCCTAGTCTGTGAGAACTGCTGGAGGGACGGGGAGCCATGTCCAGGTGTCTCTGTTGGGCTTCGTAAGCTGGAAACTCCCTCGCGCTTCCCTGTGCAGAAATACCTGGGCATCGTGCGCTTTCCCTTCACCAGGATAACACGCACGGAACATGTAGTTCTCCCTATTACCTTACAGTAGTTTTCATCACTGGCTCTTTTTTTCTTTTCCACCCCTGCCTCCCCCCCCATTACTGGAAAACCTTCTGCATTTCAGGATAGAAATCACAAAGATTAGTAAAGTTAACTGTTTGACCTAAATCTACAAAAGCATTTAGTTCTCTAGGTAAATAGGCTAGTCTGTACTTGAAAGTTAGACCAGCACAAGCCCTAGCCTGGGCACAATTATAGCTATTCCTTGGTGATAAAAAGCACGTTATTGCCTACATATGTGCTTCCATAGGAGGGTGGGCCACGTCCCTCCATCGCCAGAGCAGGTCTCCCAGTGGATCTCTACCTGGACAGCTGGGCTGTGTCGGCAGAGCCCTCTTGTGGGGACCGGGCACATGCCGGGGACCGCGGTTTTCTGTGAAGGATCACGTCTGTGCTTTCCCAGGTGGTGTGTTCCAAATGACAAAAACATCTTTCTGTCTGACAGCTGCCTCCAGTACATGACTTCATTAGTTAAGAGTGCGTGATCTTTTCCACGCTTCTAGGCCTGAAGGCAAAGCTATAGGGAACAACGCCTGGTCGGTGGCTGCCTGTGGCTCAGTATTACCTGTGCAGTATACAGGTGGAGGTGAGCAACTCCATGGGGTAGGGAAGGTCTAGCAGTTCACATAGGGCTGGAGCCTACGAGTAGGCGTCCTCTTTGGCTGGTGAACACCATATTGATCTACCAGCAGAGCAATTGTTTGAGCTCTCCCTAATTTGCTGCAGGCAAAATATGCTAGAATAGCTCAGATCACTAATTTAACATAAACCAGTTGATGAAGTCAGCTGGGAAGGATGCTCATACAAACTGCTCCCCTGATAGAGGTGAGCAACTGGGGTCAGCAACGTCTTTAAGTGCATGCTTGTGAATCAAGGTCTCCAGGATCCCCGCTTCATGCTGTATGTTCTAGGGAGAGGGCTGGGACCAGCTGTTGCTGGGGTTTTCAACTGTGTGACCCCGGGACGGGTCCCTGGGATCCCTTGGGGATCCAGATGTTCAGGAACCCCACTTTGTGGACCCAGGGACCGGTGCAAAACAGAGATGTGATGGTATATTTCATTTATTGTTCTTGTCACGGGGCAGATGCTTTGAATCTCAGATCTGGCATTTTGGGATCTCATTTAAGTGAAATTAAAATTGTAAGTCAAGTAATAAAAAAAGAAGTGATTATTTTATGTGTGGTAATTTGAAAATGGTAACGAAGGCTAAAATGCCCATGTTATGAAAAACAGTCTCAAGTGAACATCTCTAAATGTTTCAGTTGGTCATTTAGTTTTTATGTGGAAGGTATTGTCAGTTAAGCAATGTGGATTTGATTATCCCTTATTAATATATCAGCTGGAAATCCTGGCAAAATTCCAGCTATAGCAAAATAAATGCAATTGTTGAAAATGTTAACCTTGGTTCTTAAAAAAAACCAAAAAAACAACCCACCACCAAACAACCCTGAAAACCCTCAACCATGGCAGCTTTACCAGACCAAAGCGCAAGCAGCAATGCTGTTACCAGTTGAGCTTCGGGACCTCTTTGTGTAAGTGGCAATCATCATGTTTGGCTGATACTTCTGGGAAAGAAAAAAACCCTATGACTTCCACAGCTGAAAAACATAAGTTGCTTCATTTTAAATTTAGGAGAGTAGGTGATGACTGCAATAACTTGTGTTATCTGTGAATCAGCACGAGGAGAGATCCGTAACACATGTACAGTGGTGTGCACGTGCCTTCCATAAAAGGAGCCACATTGATTTTAGAGGGGTTGGAAGGCAAGGTGCCTGTAGAGTTGTAACCTTTAAAAATATGCAGTATAGCTCGCATCACATCTGATCTGTCTGAAATCATACTCTATTTTCAGGTCTTAAACCAGTTCATTTTACCAAGTGTTGCTTGCTTGTTAAAACAGCTGCTTAATCCAGACTTGAATTTTAATATTTAAGATAACTAGAAAGATTAGGAATTGGAAAAGTCTGACATGCCCTGTGTTTTCCCAACTTAGGAAAGTTTTGTAACAATTTCTGGGTATTTTTTTCCTTAGATCAGTACCCCTGTTCTTAGCGGTCAACAAAAGATCGTATGTGTCCGCTCCTTGGTGATGTAGCATACTTAGGACTTTATGGTGCTGTTGTTATTCAAAGCTGTGCCACAAACAACACTGGTAACAGACTTGTGTGGTAGCAGGACAGAAAGAGAAAGACTTGAATTTTTTTCAGGATATGATAATTTTCCTGCTTAGGTTTTGATTGACTTTAAAGCAAATGTATTGCTCATTTTTATGTGCAAGAAAGTTTTTTAATTGGTGCTTCTGAATGACTTTCCTTTGGGAAGATCATTCCTTTTGAAGTCCTACACTCCCAGGACTAAATCCTCTCCAAACACAGAGGAGGGAGGGAACAGAGGTCTTAATGCTTGCTATCCATATCCCCCCAACATGCACCTCATTTCTTACATCATAAAAATGGTTCACTACAATACCAGGTAGTTTCAGTAAATCATTTAAATTTTGCTTTGAAAGTCTGGTTTTAGAGGAAAATTTGGATTGTAAACAACTGCAGGAAAAAAGTTGTAAATAAAAAATTAAAAAGCCTTTAACAGGGATTTAAAAAAAGCTTTATTTTAATGGTAATACAGTGATTTTTAGGAATTGGCCACTGCATTTATTTATAGTGACCAGCAGTAACCTTATTCAGAGCAAACTTCTAATAGAGAGGCTTCCTTATTCCGCTGGAAGGCTTTTCTTGCCCTCTTTCCTCCTCAGGACACCAGCCTTGGCATCTGTACTTGACAGGCATGCTTTCTGTTCTGCTTTTGCAGGAGGCTGTGAGGGCTGCTGAAGATGTCCGATAGTCTGGATATTGAAGAGAAACCTCCAGCCCCACCGTTGAGAATGAACAGCAACAATCGCGATTCTTCAGCACTAAACCACAGTTCAAAACCGCTCCCCATGGCCCCTGAGGAGAAGAACAAGAAAGCCAGGCTTCGCTCCATCTTCCCAGGAGGAGGGGATAAAAGTAAAGTATCAGCAGTGCAAATGGGTGGCTACATCTGTTTGCTTTCTGTTGGTTGCTGCGTTTACTTTCTGCCACTGTTTTCTTTCTGTTTCAGTTGCAGAACATGGTAAAGTCCTTCCAAAGCCTTCTGTTCCAATTACTCTAGTAACATGTTTCAAAAGAGGAGGAGGTGTTCAGTCAGTTACTTTCTTGTCTTTGAAAAGCCAGTAAGACATGCACACATTGTGCGACTTGCCTTTTAAAAATAACCTTATAGTTAAGCTGGGGAATCCTTTCCTTTGGATTTTGCTTTGCATTTGCAGTAAAAACAGAGATGAGGTGGTGTACTTTTGAAAATACATTTGCAGAAGTGAGAAGGCAATATGCCTGACACTTTCGGGTTTTTTCTTTTTAATGCACCTACATTCCAGGAACAGGAGCAAGGCTCTTCTTGCTTGTTGCTTTTGCAGTGAGAGTGGATGCAGAATGGCTTGGTTTAAAACCTGCTAGGTGTGGTTACAGCAAGGGAGTCTTTTAAACATGCAGGAAACAGCATCTCAGTTGCATTCTTTGAAATGCATTTGCAGAAAGGAGTGTGTTTTGAGTTAGTGTATTTACAGAATTAAGGGAAGGGATCTTCTTTCTTTTTTTTGTAATGCCATGGGAACCGATGGGCTGCACCCACAAGTGCTGAGGGAGCTGGCTCATATCACTGCAAGGCCACTCTTTATTATCTTTGAAAGGCTATGGTGACTGGGGGATGTTCCTGATGACTGGAAAAACGCAAATGTCACTTCTGTCTTTAAGAAGGAGGATCTGGGGACCTACGGGCCAGTCAGCCTCACCTTGGTCCCTGGGCAGCCAGTGGAGCAAATCCTCCTGGAAACCATTTCCACACAAATGAAGGATAAGAATGTGATCAGGAATAGTCAGCATGGATTTACGAAGGGGAATTGATGCTGAACCATAGTGACAGCCTTCTACCATGAGATGACAGGCTTGGTGGTGAAGGGAGAGCAGTGGGTGTTATTTCTACTTTAGAAAGGTGTTCACACAGCCTCCCGTTGTATCCTCACAGACAAACTGATGAAGTACAGTCTAGATAAGTGGACAGTGAGGTGGGCTGAAAACTGGCTGAAATGCTGAGCTCAAAGCATTGTGATCAGCAGCATGAAATCCAGCTGGATTTCAAGTGGGAATTCGGCCTTCGATGTGCATTGCTGTTCCTCCAAGGAGAGCTCAGAACTATGGAACTGAGGTCACTCCCTCGGAGCTCCAGCTCACCTGCGCTGCTTGGCTGCCCCGTTCACAAGTCTCTTCTGCAGGTCATGTGGAGCAGTTGGAGTTAGTCTGGCATTCAAAGCTCCTCACAGGCCATAGAAGGCACGATTTCAGCCCCATTCCTCCCCTCAGTCAGGGGCAGTCCTGATGGCTCCTCTCATGTGAAGGCTGTGACTGGATGGGCCCCTTCCTCAGGCAGACCTGGCTGGTTCACTCTGCAGAGTGCTTCCCAAAATGTCCCCTCTGGGAACAAAATTAATTTTCAACTGGTTCATTTTGAAGGCCAAAAGTAAAATCTCTCCTGGCTTGTTTAATTCCAGGAAGGGCTTGGGCCACTTCTTCCCCTGACTGCCAGCAGGATGGTATTATCCCTCTCCGAGGGAACATTTCTTAAGCAGGAGGTGCTGTGTGAAATGCATGCAGAAATGGGGAGATCCAGAAACAACCCCTCCTGGAAATGATCAGTGACATTAAAAATAGATGTAATTAACTACCAGTCAGAGCAGTCTTAGGAAACATACAAGTATCATGATTTTAAATGTGACTGTGAGAGAAAGTAAGCTTAAGATTTATAGCTTAATTTTATTGGGTGAAATAATAAATGGAGGAAGTTTAGCTTGGCTGGCCAAGCCCCTTGAGGTGGTTTAATCTCAGGGTTGGCTTGTGGGTCAGGGTATCAGCTGGCCTGTGCATGCTTCACAGACTCAGTGACACATTTTTGAGAGTTCTGCTTATAAAACAGAAGGTGATTAATATGGCTGCTCTCATCTAGTGCAGTGCTTTGCAGCATCACAAATTTATATTAATAGTCCACCACTGGTACTAGTAAACAGAACGTGAAGAAAACACCATGGCAGGGTGTTTCTGCCTGAACCTGCAGGAACTTTGTCGTCTTTCGTTTGCTCACCAGACAGGAGGGATGTGAGGATGGATATGCCGTGGTGCGTTCTCTCCAAGGCAATGGTGTATGCCGGGACTGCTGTGCTCAGGGACCAGGAATCTTTCGCAGTCACTCCCCTGTTGGACTGTAGGGTTTTCAGTTAGGGTTTGAGCACTTTTGTGTTTAAAACCTTGTTTTGGCAAGCCGCTGATGACTCTGTGGGGCCCCTCTGTGCTTGTACAGTTGAAACAAGCCACTTAGGCATTAGTGTCCTGCTCCTCCCCACAGCACCTGATCTCCTTATGTTCCTTGGTGTAGCTCCTCTCGTCCCCGTCCCTGGGGTAAGGTACCCCATTTCCTGGGGCCAGGAAGCCAAGGCAGACAACTGAAGTAAGTTTCCAGTGTCACGTGGGCAATCTGAATCTGTTCCCCCATAGCCCGTGCTGAAGCTGTGAAATTGGCCTTCCTTCCCTGGAGGTAATGATGGTGATGGGAGCCATGGTGGAGTTCGTAGCATTAAGTGTTTCCTTTCAGCAGAGTGCTGTTACCTCAAGAGAATTGAGAGCGGAAGGAAATGGCTTGCATTCTTCCAGTTGTTTGATACAGCCTTGTTCTTCTCTCATTAAACCACCTGTAATTGCTGTGCTATGAAATAAATTAATACTGTGTGTGAACTGGTGGCTCCATGAAGGTGCTGTAGAGCATTTAACCTGAAGAAATGAGAGGGGAGCAGGCTCATCACAGCTCAGATGCCCATTTCAGCTGAAGAGGTACGTCTGTGTTAAGATTACTGGGTGAATAGCATCACTTCCATCGAAGCTGCTTTAGATTTAGCTGTGGGTGGGAGCAGAGTCTGACCTTAGTCATCTGGTTGCCTCCTGTACAGAAAAACAAGAAAAGAGGGAAGGAGAAAAACCCAGCGGGGTTAAGATTAATTGAGGAGAAAGAAAAGGACAAGGCTGCTGGGGTAGGACAGGAGGAACAGAGCAGGAAGAAGGATGGGAGGACAGTGTGAGTGACAGTGGAAGGGAGAGGAGGAAAGAACAGAAAGAGATGAAGAGGAGGCGAGTAAACAGGAGGGCGTAAGCTTGAGGTCAAACCCTTCCTCCCTCTCTGGAGAAAAGCTGCCACGTTTTTCTGCCAGACAGCTGCTCTTTTAACATAATGATGGTGATGATGCAGACTATGGAAGACAGAAAACTCTTTCCTTATTCTCTTTTAATCTGTAATAGTTGCTGAGGTGGTGTGGGTGGCCCTCATGGCTAGCTGCGGTGCAGCAGGAGTATATTGTGAGGGGCATTTATAAGAAAATCAAATAGGAATGTCCAGTATAAAGCCCTTGAATCCAGTCAGTCATTGCTTCAAAGAAGTCATGCCTTTTCGTATTGTTTTGCCAGCTTACGTAAAACAGAAGTGATTTGAGTTGCAGGGCACAGACAGAAGTGTCAAAGTTTTTAGACTGGGGAGGGGTGAGGGTGTTGCAAGGAGATGTTTCATTCTGCATTTAATTTATAGTTTATCAGCATTTGGACCATAGGTGTGTTATCTACAGTCTGGTAGGCAGAGGTCTGTGGAGCAGATGAGCCAAATCTTGGGGAATGAGCTGGAACGCTTGCCCTGGCAGGAGAGGCCTAGAATGGACAAGTGCTGCTTTTGATGGAACGTTTTCTGTAATGCCTTATTTCGCTTCTAGATTTGACTGTTGCTTTGAACTGAATTTGATGATCCTTTAAATCTAATTTTCACTGCATTTGCTTGCAAATGATGAGGTAGGAGAAGCCAGTTTTGTTATCTACAATAAAAAGTTATATATGCTGAACGGAGATGACATCTTGTAACTGGCAACATCTATCCTGAAAATTAAACAACATCATCTTAGAGGTAAAAGAAGGGGAAGAGCCTTTAAATTTGTATTTGATATATTGCTGCCATCTTTACTGAATGCTAAATGAAAATAATTGATCAATTAACATTGTGTAGGGGTGTGCAGTACAGACAAAAGGTGACAGTTAATTATTTGATGAGGATAGATGCAACAATGCAGAGAAAGGATTAGAAACATGCAAAATACTCTAGACTATAATTATGAAGAGCAGAGCATCTTCCAACTAAAGGAGGCTGTAAGGTAGAATAAGATAGATATGCAAAGAGAGGCCTCGTGGAGCTACTATCTGTGAGCAAAGACAGACCCAGGCTGGGCGGGGTGCTGATACATAGTGAGTTCAGCCTTTGGATGAGACGCCTAGATAAACTTACGAAGCTGGCAAACATAATACTAAAACACTGAAGGAAAATGTTAATTAAAGGTCCATGAGCATAGTAGTGCTTTATTTAGAAGACTGATGTGCCAGAAAATAGCTTTCGCAAAGCTCCATCCTGCTCGATATTGATAGAATATTGGTAGAAGGGGACACTTGGTTTTGAAATAAGACACGCACAAAATTGTCTTCATCCAGTTGTTTTTGAAGTGCATAGCATGGCTGTCACTGGCGCTGCACTGAGGGAATATGGAAGGCAAAGACAGGACCTGAACAACTGCTCCTTTCTCTCCTGCTGATGTGTAACTGTGGCACATGCATTCATTTTCATATTATCATTAATAAATGGTGATACACTGGCCTTTAGAGATCCTGATACAGAGTCCCATTGTGATAGGCACAGTATAAACCTCTCGTATATCTCTGGGTTTCTCACAACTGTTAGCGTGAAGTCATGTCACATCAGATCTATAGAGCAAGCCTGCTCAGGACCACGATGAGGATACGTAAACCAGACATGCATTAAACTGGTATGAAGGGCAGCAGAGGAGAGGTGAGATCCTGGGGTGCAGAGTGCTTTCGTTAAAGATGTGAGATGATGTGACTTTTTTGTATTCTACATGAGCGCTTTATGCGTGTCTTATTTCTTGAGTGTGTGTTAATAACTCTCGCATACTGCAGGTGGGCACTGTCATATTTGTTCTGTTCCAATCATTAGCATGTAATTTTTCCACTGAAATGACAGATGTATTTGGTAGAATGGCAGTACCCCTCGCGGCTGTTACAGATATACCACTGGCACTAGAAAAGATCCTACAGATAGCTCTGTACTGTATTATTCAACCACGTGGTAGTTAGTCTTGGAGCATGCTGGTTCTCCAGGGAAGCCAAATATTTCGGGTACCTGCCAGCAGGATAGATGTTTGAACGTGGGTTTATGCTATGTTTATCTGGGTGTTTGGGAGTCGTCCAGAACTGGCATAATTGTCACCATTTTTCAGAGAAATCTCTGTTGAACATGGATTCTTGATGCATCAGACTGAAGGCAGCTTCTCTCAGCCTTTATTCTACTCATTCTTTATCACGGCCAAACTGGGCTGATGTGAGGTTCGTCAATAGTAAAAAGCACAGGAGATGGATGACCGCAAGGGATGTTACTTTCAGAAGGTGTTAAAATAGGAGGGAGATGAGAGAAACACATGCAGATTGACTGACTTCCAAGTCTGTCTCCTTCAGTAAGATATTCCACACTCTGTGAATCCTGGTGGAGTGATTTAAAAACAAGGAATTCCTGGAGACTAATAAAGCCTGGGTTTTCTGGTTGTATGTCTTAGTTAATTGAGAGCTCAAATGAAGCTTTTCCAATGGCATTTATGGGATCTTGTTGCTGTGCAGATTCTGTGGTTTCTAATACAGAGCTGCTGCTTCAGCCTTTTAATCAGAGAGGAGGCAGGAACAGGATCTTTGTCTTCTCCTGAGCTGCCTGTTTTCACAGTACTTGTAGGAACCTGGTTATCTTAAAAAACCCCTCCTCTCTGATTTGGCTGAGTTTGACAACAGGTTCAAAGCATGTTGGAGAAAAGACAGACATGCAAACAGACACGCACATGCATGTCCTGGGTGCTTTACTTCTGCAGGAACCCGCAGAGCAAAGTCAAACAGGAGTTAGTTGCTAGGAATGAAAACTTGATGAAAAAAAGAACTGATAATAGAAATCATACTGGTTGGAGATAGCCTAAGAAGGCTACTTCATGAACAGCTTGCTTTGGCAGCTGTGACACTGATTGGAAGAAAAACAAAATGAAATAACACCTTACAGACCTTCCCCAAACAGGGGTTGACAGGCTGGTGGTGTATTAGCTTGCGTCTATTTGTCAGGTAAGATGGATGTTAATTGATTTGTTTTCCACTTCTATAATACTATTTTGAGCACACTTGATTGTGAAAATCTTTGAATGAAAAGCTGTGCAGAAAGTAAGCGTGTTAATGTTTTGCCTCTAGCCAACAAGAAGAAAGAGAAAGAACGTCCTGAGATCTCTCTTCCTTCAGACTTTGAACATACCATTCATGTGGGATTTGATGCCGTCACTGGAGAATTCACAGTAAGTAACCGCTGTATTGCGTGCTTACCAGAGCTTCTAGTTTCTTGATGGTAAAATAACCTCCTGTTGCCAGAAACATCAGATGACAGCAGCCAGGCTGTGAAGAAAGAGACTCTTATTTGTTGGGCTTAGGATTTGGAGTGTTTTACTTCTGATTCAGGCTGCTTTTTTTTCTCCAAGGATTGTCAGCAGAGTGTCTGTGGAAAATGAAAACTAGGAAGAACGTAGGTGTATGCTTTTCAGTCCGACAAGCTGCTACAGGGGTTGGTTATTCAGTATCTTTGGAAAAGCATGAAAAACCCACACACATGTGCATAGTGTATGTCTTGCTGTAGACAATCAGCCCCAAAGTGCAAAGTCCAGCTGCTCTGCAGACAGCCCTTGGAGATGCCCAGAAAGCGGCAGCGTTGTGGAAGTCCATTCATTTTCATTTAATATCCTTCAAAATATGTCCATAGACTAGGTGATCAGACATGTTTCTAGCCTTTATGTATTAATAAAATAGCGGTCAGCTTTTTCTACTTATATCACGACAAAATATATGAAGTGTTGGGAAAAATGAGTCTGATAGAAGCTCCTTGAAGTCTGCAGGGGGCTTCAAAGCATTTTCTCTCAGACTACTAGTTAGGTGCTGAAACCATTAATCCTTAAAGCTAAGATGGCAGGAAGCTTACATTTGGTTGAACTGTGGAGGTGAGAGGAAACACTAGCGACTCTCCGTACCATCGATAGTACCCTGTGAGCTAAGTGGTCAGACTGTGTTATCATCGTGCGTCAAATAGCAAAGTGTGCTAGTGCTGACTGGCTGCATACACCAAACAGGATGGGACAAATCATTTGCCTGGACAAAGGATGGTTAGTTTTCAGAATTTGAGCCCTGAATGTGATTTCTTCATCTTTTTTTACTTTTGATTGCTACTTTTGTTTCTCAAAAACATTTCAGAAAGCGGGAAACTTTCTGTATGCTACAGAAGCAGTAGCAATAGTAATAAGCACAATAACATTAGAAGAAAAAAAGACACATTTAATGACAGCATGTCTTCAAAGGAGTAGTGAAATTAAGTTATCCTTAGTACTTAGGAAATACAGCTACATTTAAAATATGTGGACTACTTTTTAAAATAGATGTCACTTACAAAATCTTACTTCAGAATTTATTCTGTGCCAAACACTAGGGCTTGATTAAATGCTCCTTTAAAGAGCCCAGATGCGGTCATTTTTGATCAGAAACCTGGCATAAAGCTTTTAAAATTGTGTTTTCCCTGCTATCTACCCTGGTTTTCCTCTTTTTTTCCTGTCTGTCTCTCCCTGTAGCCACTTTATTGTCCAGGTTAATCTTCAATGCCATTCTCTTTATCTTGGTATCATATTATGTATTCTGTTACTTTCTGCTTTTGTTTTCTCCCTTTTGTGTTTGCATCCCTTCTCCCTGTCCATCTTTTCTTTCTTTCCTTCCTTCCTCGTTTCACTGCTCTCCCTACTGAATGTTCAGCTGTTCTTATTCTATATTTGTTCTTCCTTTCAGCCTTCTGCCTTTATTTCTACCCTGTGCTTCAGACTTTTTCCTTCTGGCTCTATGCAAACGCGATGGGTCACAATCGTGTACTCTCGTAGACTGACTGGTGGTAAGGATCCCAGTTAGTTTCATGTCCCTGCCAGCTGGAACAAAAAGGAGGGGCGTTGAGGTTAACACACTTCAGTTCTAAGCACAAGCACTCTCTATTAGTACTTCAGAGATCATGGTTTGGATCAGTTTGAATGTTATTATTATCATCCAGCGTGTCAAAACAGTCTCTAGCATCAGAGATTTTTTTTTTTTTTTTTTGTCTCAGATGCCACCAGCACAGGTCCTGGCCTTTTACAGAACAAAGCGATTGTACGTGGCTAAATATGTCCAGCTTTATTGCTGCGGTACAGTTTCTTTTTAATATCTTTTTCCCTTTCAAAACAGTGGACATTAGATGGCTACTCTTTTACAATTGCACAGTATTTCTACAATAATACTTGTTCCTAAAGTGTGGAAATGCAGCGCTGCAGTTTGAGAAGGCTCTAACCAGTTCAAAACAAACCAAAGGGACAGGTGACTTCCCCCGTGCAGCTTGCCAGGACAGGACTTAACGCTGCAGTCCTTAGTGGAGTAAAATGTCAGTCAAAGCAAGGGGATTTTTGCACCATTTAGAACTAGCTATCAGCTCCTGACTAATCCCAGCTGCAAGTATTATGTTACATATTACATTAGGCATGTTTTACACATTACATTAGGCATGTTTGATTTGTCCCAACCTGGATACAACCTGTGTATCAGCTGGGTAGCCATGTGGTAAGTATGTCCTGCTGAAGGGACTGCCACTAGCCATATCATGTAAAAATACTCCCGCTGTCTAGTGATCACACTGTCTGTCTCTTTCAAAAGTTTGGAAGTGCCATGGGAATGTCCAATAAATGTGCAAATATATGGGTTTTTTTTTGTTTCGAATTATTACAGTTGTCATGCCAATAGTGTCTGCTCTACTGGTTATGTGCAATGCATTGGGCCATTTTCTGACACCTAACAGTCACCCCCCAGCTGCATTACCTGATTGCTGTTAGTTGCATTTCAAATCAAAGTTGCATGGGCTCCTGAGTTTTGGCTTTGAGGCTTGAGCACCAAACTGTGTTGTTGCTCATGAACGTATGTTATATCTCCATTTCACTGTGCTTGGAGCAACCACATTTGCTAAGAAGTAGGGCTTTTAAAGCTCAAAATAAAATTGGTTGGAAACTGTTGGGCGGGAGCATGCTGCTAGAGCTTTATGTTGATTTCTTTTGAAGAAAGAGTTGCATTTTCTGAATGGAGGAAGAAGTGTGGTTTGCAGGGCTTTGGGGAGTGTGTTTTGTAAGGCATGCATTTTTGAAACAGTTTCCTGATCCTCAGTCTAGAATAAAATGTGGTCACCCACCAAACTTTTAAAGTTTCAAGATTGTGACGTTAGCAAGTGGGAGAAGGTTGTGGCTGTAGATCCAAAGAAGTTGTACGTTATTAATCTAATCAAGCATTTCTTTAGAATTGTCCTGATCTTCAGTCTGACACGCATAGATGATTTGTGTTATGACAATACACAACCTCCCAGTGTGAAATCTGAGTTTGACCAGCTGCTTTCTCCACTGCGCTTTATTGACTCATGGACTGGCCAATTGTGATCTTGGGGCTGGAGAACCATTGGAAAAAACTTGTGTAGAGCCACTCAAAAATGCTAACCTGGCTTTCAAAACTAGACAAACAGCAAAAGCCCAGGTCTTTCTCTATTATTTTTATTTTTTTAACTAAAAAAAGAAATCACAGGTAATTTTTCCAGTCATTTGCTGTTAATCCTCAGTAATGTATTTTTACGAGGGAGAGAAAAACTGGTTTAAAAAAGAGAGGAGGGGGAATGATGCTTCCAAACTTTGGAACAGTTGTGATTTTTCTGTTTTCCTAAGCCTGCCTTCCTGTAGCCTGTCCACCACCTAATCTATTTGTTATCTACCTCGTAATTCCCATTTTAGATGGGACTTCCCCATTTTGGCCCATTGGTTTCCTCCTACCACCTTCTAAGTTGTCCCACATTCTGTTTTAACTTTCTTTTCTTTCTTTATTTACGTCCATTACAGCCAGATCTCTATGGCTCACAGATGTGCACAGGGAAGCTCCCAGAGGTGCGTCACAGGCCCAAAAGAATCTTGCATCAAAATGCTTCTTTGAGATGTCATAGCACTGCAGCAGCAGGTTGATGTGTGTGCAGTAGATTTGTTGCTTGGCTTATCCCACTTTTTTTTCATTAATCCTAAACTTTGGAGGCCCATGTCACACATTGTTTTGTGGAGAACTTCTTAGGAAGAAGCTATATTAAAGTGTTTACCTAGATCGGGGCGGCACCAAGGCTGAGTTTAAATGTGCTTCAGGTGTAGTTTTTCATTCAGTAAGCCCTACAATTCGATGGTAGGTGTTGGCTGTGCAGTAAATGGGGAAAATTACAGGCTTTCAAATTTAGGAAATTATACTGGATATTTAAAGCAATTTTTCATCAATATAATTTCAATGCAGAGCTGCGGCTTTCAGCGATTGGATCAATTTTCAAATGCCACCCTCACTTGTAAGATGTCTGAGAATTCATGCAAGGCTTTGGCGCACTCAGCCTGTTTTCTGAGTCCCTGGTTTCTGTATATTTACAGTAGAGAACCTACAGAGCTACAGGAGGTCAGAAAAGAGACATTCTTAGCAGCAGTGGTACGACTCAATGTTAGGATTTTGAGAATTTAAATGCAGATTCTTAACCCCGCAGTGTTCCCTGGTATGCTGAAAATTAATTGTATCAGGGTGGGGTTTACCTTTTAATCAGACAGCAGTGATCATTTCAGCAAAATGTGTTTGCGTTACTAAGCATTAAAAATCCAGTGTAAAGCTCCTAAAATACACTGTGGTGTCCACAAATATAGAATAGTCTTGTTATGTCTGCACTGAATCACCAGGAAAACAAGCTAAGCCTTAAATCATTATTCCATGGAAGAGCAGAGTTGATTTAAAGATGAGTTTCATGCACTTTTTTTCCTATCACGGTCATAACTTTCTTTTCTTTTTAAAGTTGGATCCTGGTTTTAGCTCTATATTTTGATAGAGAAGAGAATGATTGCATCTAATGTATAAGCTACTAATTTTAATTGTAAGGTGTCAATCAAAATTTCTGAAAGTAATCTTACAGGTAGCATGGGATCTTGGTAAAGATCTGTGAGGCTGTGGCTGTTAAATACTCTAAATCCACATTGTTTCCACTTGACATCTACAGGGCATTCCAGAGCAGTGGGCCAGGCTACTACAGACCTCCAACATAACAAAACTGGAGCAGAAGAAGAACCCACAAGCTGTTCTAGATGTTCTCAAATTTTATGATTCCAAAGAAACAGTAAACAACCAGAAATATATGAGCTTTACGTCAGGAGGTAAGTCGACACCTCACTGTGAAAAAGGGAGTGTCAGGCCCCAAAATGAGTCAGACCGAAGTTCAACATTCAAGTGCTCAAGAAGCAGCCTTAAAAAATTGCACTTTGTGGAATACACCCAAAATGAATTATATTTCTCCTTTTGTCCCCTAAATGTCATTGAAACTGTGACTTTTCTTTGTCACTTGTTTTTAGAACTAAGTAAGATACTAGATGGAACAATCATTACTGTTTTTAGTCAGAAGCATTAGTGGCCAAAGGTCATGTTTACTTTTGTTTCTTCGCATCCTTGTTCCTTCACAGTGTTCAGATTGGGGTATGGGATATACTTGTTTCATGCATTTTATGAGTTACTGTTGGATCCTTTGAACAATAGGTTACGGACTATGAAGATTTTTTGTGATAACTTTGCGATAGAGGAGAATTTTCAAGGATTTTCTTGCGTTAGCTGTAGAGAAGATTAGGTTGCTATGCATAAATTCACAAACAAACCTAGACTGGCTGCTATTGTGATGTAAAAGGAATGTCGCCACAGAGGCTGAGAAGGAAGGCATCAGTGTCCAGAGCAATCTCCATAGCATGCTCATTCCAGGAAGATCCTCGTGATTTAGGCATTACCATCCAAAAGCCTGCAAATGTGATGGGGGTGTCATTTTTTCCCTTGGTTGTGTACAGTCTGCAAAATTGTAGTGTAGCATTGCAAAAATGAGGGAGCGCAAGTCTGTGCTGCAGTTTGCATTTTTTTTTTTTGGCCCATTCTCTCTTTTTTTTTTTGCCTGACAAACTCTGGCTGGCGTCACATCTAGCAAGTAAGCAGAGGTTTTTACTAGGTGCAGCATATCTGGCTTTTGTATCGATGTGTTCTTTTGCTGTTCCTTAATAACTGAGTTGATTTTTTAAACAAAAATGGTAAGCTCATGTCAACAGCTTCAGCTAATAAAGGGGTGTCTCTATCCAGCAGGGTGTGGACAGCATTTGTAATTTAACCTGTGGTGGTTCAGTTCCCTACACGTGATAGTCCGTGGCAGTGGAGTCTGTAATTTCCTCAATTTGCTGGTTCAACCAATACAACTTCCAAAATGCAAACTGGGAGAGCTTCTCAGAAGTACTTCTAAAAACTGTGCAATTATCTCCAGAGTATACTAACATTTCTCTTCTTTTGAGGGAAAGGATTTTTTTTTTCTAAATTCCATAATTAAAAGATTTGACTGTCTAGCTTGACACTTAATGTTTGCTAAAATAGCAATTACTTTTGTGATGAAATGCAAAATTCAAAACAGTTAGTGTATGCTCCTGAACACAGGAGCTGTTACTGTGCTATGTCAGAATAGAACTGCCATGGCTAAGGGGGATTTTGGGGAAGCTTTCATGGGGAAACATTTTCAGCAAGCTAAAGAGAATTTATCTTTTTTGAGAATTTATCTTTTTTTTTTTTTTTTTTTTTTTTTTTTTTTTTTTTTTTTTTTTTTTTTTTTTTTTTTTTTTTTTTTTTTTTTAAAAAGCTGCTTTAGCTCTTGGGCGGAACAGAAGCATTGACTATTAAAGAACAATTTGCATTTTCTTGACCAAGTTTCTATTTATTTTATTTACTGGCAAAACAGGGCAAAAAATAGACTCAAGAAACTGTAGAAAAAGACTAACCTAGTATATTGTCCTGTTATCTTGCTTGCTATGTAAAATAACTGTTGCTACTGGAGGGATGTTGTGAAAGAAAAATGCTATCTATTTGGATTTACTTGTTCTGTGGGATTCCCCACAACAGGCAGTTTTATAACAGCATCTGGTTAATTTTCCCTTGCACGTTTTAGATAAAAGCGCCCATGGATACATAGAAGCCCATCCTTCGGTGAGTGTGAAAGTAACCTTTTACTGTCATAGCGTTTAAGAATTGTGGAGCAAGCTGTGAGCTTTGCCTTTTGCGATAGAGTGCGAGCCTTGGAGGCTGAAAGAAAGTATGTTTTAGTGTCTGCAGCAGCAGAAAAGGGATCACTGGCTGTTTTCTAATTTTCTGTTTAAGAACTTTTAAACAGACGAAAGTCTGGTTTTGCAGACGGAAGATTGCTTGCTGTTCTTAACCATGGTGGAATATATAATTCGCAACAATATGCAGTACTGTCTAATTAGCCCATTTTAATTTAGTTTTAACAACTTAGAATTCATTTCTATTAAATTTTGTGATTTATCCTTAGTACAGCTGGATATGTAGCTGAATATAAATAAGGTTATAATTGATACGTAACTCACTGGAACCATTGAAAGAAAGTTTTAAATAATCATCTACTCTAATTAATACTGGATTGCCATAGCAATCCCAGAGATGTAGTCATGACATCCACATTAATATTGACCAGATTTATTAGTGTTAATGTTAGTGCATTAAATAGCAAATGACTGAATGGGGATTTGGCCTTTATTTTCAAGTGTTAAGCAACTTAATTTTAGGTTTGTGATTACACAGCAGAGTGTGTATAATGAAATGAAAATATTCTTTGAATATTTACACTTCAGATTTTCAATTGATGCCGCTTTCATTATCTTTAATAAAACGCACTTTTAGAAGGAAGTTTGGGGTTCACCAGACCATAGTGACCCTTCCCAATAGCTTTTCCAGTGGGTATGGACACATTGGCAGATGCTGTGGTATTTTGTCCTAGCAGACATAGACAGTGGTGAGACAGTCAAGATTTCAGCTTTCAAAAGTTACCGACTCAGAGGATGCTGGTTGAATGTTATAGTGCAGGGAAAACAACTCTCTGACAGGATCGAGCAGTCATTGGAATTACTTTAATTTCATTTCACTCCTTAATGGGAGGCTGGCATTAAATAATATGACATTGTATATGTTCTAGCTGCACAATTTAGTGCTGTCAGACCAAGCATGGAGCCCAGTGGAAAAAATAGTTACAAGAATTTGACATAACAGAAATGTGATTATTCCCTTCTTTATTTTTGCCTTAATCATCTTCTATCCCCATGTAAGCAAAGTGCTAACGATGCATAGAAGGCTATACACTGATCTAATATATGCCAAAGTAACATTCACCTTCCCATTAGGGCACCCCTTGAGTTGGCCCCTAAACTGGTGTTTAGAATGTCTGACGTGTCATTCCCTACTTGGGCCAGATTAGTAGCCTGTTTCACAGTTTACCTTTAAAAGTTGGGTAACAGAACTGAGTCTCACAGAAAATATAATACTCTGTGTGTGTGTGCATCTAGATGATAGTATGTTCAAGTACAGGTGACTTAAGGCAGCGATACAGTCATCTATTCAGTAACACACAGGCGTGAAGATTAGATCTCCCTGTTTCCTGCGGGCTGTCCCTTACTGGTATTTATACTGGACCAAACTGATGCCATTTTAAAGATAACGCAAATGAGATGTGAATATGTAGAATAGTACCTTTGGTTTGCTTCAGTTCTCTAAGTGGCCTGTTGTAGCCAGCTTTAAAGCAGTTGGTAAACACTTGACAAGGCACCTTTTCAGTTTTTTTGTTTCACCAGCAAATTTGTGGCAACGCGATATACCCCCTGCCTCTGAGTAGCAGCTGGGACTGGTGGAGGGGTTTCAACTCGCCTAACACTAAATATCTGCACTGTAGGCTTCGGTTTACACGTAGACAACTGATCAGCCAGACTTCCCTTGCCTGCCCCATATTTGGAGTCTGCCTGAAGGTCGGCTGCACCCTGGCAGTGGCTTTTATTCTCCGCTGCCTATAACGGGAGCCTGGGTGAGCAGTCGGGATGCCTGCCTGGCAGCCCCGGGCAGGTCGGCAGGATGCACCATGCTGCTGAGGGGGCTGCGTTCGCTCTGGGTTACTGTTGCGGTAGGAAACAGGCAAACGGTGGAAAGATCAATGTGTTAAAGAGGAAGATGGTGCTGAAAAAGGAGCTACTAAACAGGGAAATTCAGCACTGTGGAAACAGGCAATATGATTACCCCACAGGTAAAACAGTAAAGAAACAAATAGCCTTTCTCTCCAAAACCAAATTCCCAGCAAGATGACGAAGGAGGCTTTGCACTTCGAAGTGTGTTAATTAACCTAGCCAGTAGACACCTGTTAGCTTTAATTAACTGTTACCAGTTCTGTAGACACAATGCCAAAGCAATTGACCAGCAACTAGACATGATTTCTAGTGATATATTCAAGCATTAAGTTTTGTGAAATTAGACTTTGACTAAGCATGGGAATGATTTAGTTGTTTTGATTAGCAAAATTGATTAGCAAAAATGAAAAACACCAAGACAAATTAACAAAACGGCACGGTAATTTGTAACCTTTAAATTGTATTGTGCCGTGTGTAACTTAGAACTGAGGCCTGTAAGACTATAGGCATGTCTAGATTGGTTTCTGATGTCTAAGCAGACTAAAATTGTGTGTAATTATCAAACCTCCCAAGTGCCAGAATGGTGACTGTCACTCATGTTACTGTCTGTCCACAGAGCACAAAAACAGCATCAGAACCCCCGCTAGCTCCCTCTGTTTCTGAAGAAGAGGATGAAGATGACGAAGAAGAGGAAGATGACAATGAACCTCCGCCTGTTATCGCACCACGGCCTGAACATACAAAATCAGTAAGTCCCAGCTTTGGTGTAATTCAGAGCTGCTTGTTTCTTACCATACAGCACTTGCAGATGAAGACTCTGAGGGCTGGAGTCCTACCATGACATAGTGCTTCACCCAAGCCCCTGACACCAGGAATATCTGTTTTGAACTTCCACATTTAGTCATGAGTTTCCTGTGATTCTGATAGGGTCCGTCAATTTATCTTAGTATCAGATAAGAGGTAGCATTGTGTCTTTTAATGCTACCAGTGTAAAAGTGAGCAACTTTGTCCAAAGTATCTGTGTAGGCTCTCTGTCATCAGTGGAGGAGAGCGGTCATCAGATGCAGTTCACACCCTTGCAGGATACATAGGAGAAACTGTCCCCTGGAGGTACCTGTCCCTCTCCACAGACTATATGAGTAGCTAAATGAACAGCTTAGACTACACCCTTAACTTTTACATGACTGAAGTTGGGTGAGAAGAATCCTACGCAGCTATGCATTGTAAAGAGAAGGTAAGTCTCTGAAGGACTGGAACGCAGTTCCTAATGGCGCTCCCTAAAGCTTGAAATACTGATGAGAAGTCAGTTCAACAGTTACGATCAGAAAAGGGAAATGCTCCCTGCTTCTATTCAGACACTTACGTACCAACTAAAGAGTCACTTTGTTACCCATGAAAACACCTGAGTATCAAGGAACAAGGCTCTGGGGCCCTGGACAGATCTATTTCTGTATCCTTGCAACACAGTAAATTCATTGTTTCAGTCATCTTTCAGAAAATCAATGAAGATTGAAAATGAAACTGGCCATGCACTTGTGTAAAACTAGCCTTTCATTTTTGCCTGTTTAGTTTGAGAAGTGGACAGCAAAAACAAACATTTTAAGAGCCCTGGATGTGGCAGACAGCATCTTCCTAAGGGTTTGCATTTGAAATATGATCTCAAGGGCATCTCTGCAAGCCATCTTTCTGACACAAAATAATTTCTTTTCACAGATCTACACACGCTCCGTAATTGAACCTGCAGCTGCACCAGCACCAGCTAAAGAAGCCACCACTCCCCAACCTGAAAACTCAAACACAAACACTTTGTACAGAAACACAGACCGGCAGCGAAAAAAATCCAAGATGACAGATGAGGAGATCCTAGAGAAACTGAGTACGTATTCTGTATTTCTTGTGTGATAAAGCAGTGTACTGTATGCATGTCTCAGGATTATATGTACCGAATGTTCATCTCCAGTTTAGTGTCACGGAGTCACTTATGACTCCCCACACAAACTGTTACTGTGCTTAGAGGAAGCAAGAGAGCGCTCTAGGAATTCCTTCTGCCTCTGAGGGCAGCTATGACTGGGTTGGATTTGGCTGAGCTTCCTTCTACGCTAAAGGCAAAAGTAGAGATTGTTTCTGGTTGAGCAGGAGGCTGTGACCTAGTGAACTCCTGTGTGCTGATGGCCAAATTGAACGGGATATTTGGGTTCCTAAATTCTCTTTAGACTCCTGACTAAAGAGAGTCTCTTTAGTCACCAGTCATCTGAGCCAAAATACTTTGCAGAAATCTGTTGGGGTTTTGTTTGTTTGGCTGGTTGTGGTGTTTTGTTTTTTTTTTTTTTTTACCAGTAGACAACTACAGCACTAAGCTGATTCCTTCAGCCTCAAGGAGCTCTCCTGCCCCAAATATTCTATTGGTGTCGTTTCTATGATTGTTGTTACTCCTACTACTTCTACTAATATATCAGAGTTCGTTTTTATAAGAATTCTATGTTTTTGTCAGAGAGAACTCCTTTGAAAGAATGTCAGTTGACACCATGGGTAGAGAGGAAGAGGTGTTTTCAATGTGCCCCAAAAGAAAAAAACAAACCCACACTTTTATAACAATCCTTGTTTTATTTCTTAGCCTTATGCTTATAAAGATGTATCAAAGAGACACATCGATGTGGCGTGATCAGGTAAAACTGCACTGCAAGCATTTCTCGGGAGCCAGCCTCCAGCACATCCACTGTATATTCCTCAGATACGTGGCACTTTGTCATAGCTAATTCCCAGCCAGTTAATACTATTAGAATCCTAACCATTGGCCCCAAACCCCTGCACAGCTCATACTCTAGGAAAACACATCAAGCCCTTTGTGATTGTGCAGTACAACCAATTCAGTCTGCTTCTTGCATGTAATAGCTGCCAGTGCTATGTTCTCAGACAATAAATTAACCAATTCAGGCTGCTTCTTGCATGTCATAGCTGCCAGTGCTATGTTGTCAGACAATAAATCCTTGGGTTCATAACATAGCCCAAATTAATGTGTCTACCATTAACTGTTAGGACAAAAAGTGGATTGATCTACACCTCCTTGTGTTTGATCTCAAAGCCAATAACGTTCTGTCTTTAATGGGGGCAACTGCTTGTGAAGGGGTGCAGTCTGGCTGTGGCTTCTTCGCAGTGGTTGTCAATGCTCGTTCTTGTGCTGTACCAACCTTTTCGTCATACCTGCCCTGCCACTGATGGCTGGTGTGACTGCAGAGGCTGAGGCCTTCCTTAGCTGTGAGATGTCAGCTGCTTGTGTAGAGTTTTCTGCACCCTTAGCAGGTTGACAGGACTATAAAGAACTGAATCTCAGTGCCATTAGGGAGTATCCAAGGGCTAAGTTGAACACCTTTAGCTGAGGGCACAATGAAATAAATTCCAGAGCAGATAGTTACCTGCAGGTATGTCAGCTTATAAAGGGAGGAAATACAGCTTCTTCAGCTGAGGCTACATGTTTGAGGCAGGCTTCCACCATGAGATCTGCAGGTACCCTGCATACACAAACCTAAGTATGCATATCGTTTATTCAAGCTTCTGTGTATGCCAGATTAGGACTGAGCCCTTGAGGAGTTGCGGGTTATATCTTTGAGATGTTACATGCTTTCATGCTTTTTCTTTCTTAAGAATTTGATACCAAGTGAGCAAGGTCTGAAGGTCTGCCTTGGGCAAATTGTGATGTGGACAATGAAAATCTTTTTGTGCTTTCATGAAGCTATCTGAAAACGGGGGTGATGCTTTTTTGTTATAGTCCTGGGCTAATTATATTTAAGCATGTGTGGTGATTGGGTTTTTCTGTTTTGTTTTAACTCGTATGACTTCTCCACCTTGCCTATTTCCCCCACAATTGATTTTATGCCACTTTTAGGAAGACGTTCCCTGCTCTCTTTTACCTTAAATTGCTTTCATAATTCTTTTCTGCTTGAAATAACTGGGGTTTTTTTAGAGCCACTTTCATTACAAGTTTTACTAGGGAGTAAAGCCTGAAATACTGAGATAAGATCAAACAAAATTCTATCTGTAATGAAATCATGAATATGTTCCACTGTAATTATAAAACAGAAGTGGCCCAATTCTGCTTTCTTATCCACTTAATTTAGGACTTGATAAAGGAAAGTGCTTAAAGACATCAAAATAGCTGATACGTTTATCTTTTGTCTAGAGTAGGGAGTGCTTCTCTGAACTGGAGCCGCGTACCACTCACTTTGTTGATTTTAGTGCCGTCATATTTGACGTGCATTGGCTTAGCACAGGAAACCAGCCACAAACAACTAAGTTGTGAAAGCAGCTGCTCAAGTTTTGAGGAAAAACACCAGAAACCTGAACTGCAAAATCAGGGGCAAATTTGGAAAATTCTTTTTCAAAATATTTGTTCTGCAGTCTTTTTCTTTATTCTTTTCTAACGTGAACTTCCACAAACTTCTGATATCTGTTCTGATAGATACACAGTTCCATTAACTAGCTGAAAATAGCACCTAGCCAGACACGGACAACACAGTGTTTTTCCTGTTGTCCAGCCCAGCACAGGATTACGGCAGTGTCTGGTTTAGTACTGCGGAGTCTCATGGGGATCCCTGTCTGGGGGATGGTTAAGCTCAGTAGTGTGAGTGGGAGGGTATGCTTTCTCATCTCGCATCCCTTCTTCCAGTCAGTTAAAAGGGAGTCCCAGAGTCCTTTGGTCATATTCTTCTTGACTGAAGAGGTATTTTGTAGTGGAAACCCACTATAGAGAAGCAGAATGAAAGCTTCGTCTTACATTATACGTTTCGGTGAGATGAAACTTCAAAAAGTTAACCAGGTCCTGAAAGCATTACGTCCTTGGCTTGGACTCCAGACAATCCAGTTACTCTAACTCTTGCAGGCTGGCACAGCAGGGCGGGACCACTTCAGGCTACTTGAGGCTGTGTCGGCATCCTCTGCCAGCAGGCAGGCGCTCACGCTGCCATCAGCAGTGGGCACTGGCTGGCGTTCCTGGAGTGCCGGGTGAGGGGACCGAGTACCGTGGGGCAAAGGAAGCCTCTTCTCCTGCAGCTCCCATTAGTAATCTTGCCAAGGCCAGTAAAATTGTTTTAGCAGGGAGTGTACCAGATGGTGTTGATGACCCGTCATCTTGCCATGCTGGCAAGCAGGATTCCTGGCTAGGCATCTAGTCAGATGCCCATTTGGATGCTAAAGCCCTCTGCTCCAGAGAAATGGCCTGGACCGGGGAGAGAGGTGTTTCTTACTACTTACAGTGAATGGCGCATCACCTAGTTTTGTTTTGAATGCACAGGTGAACAAATAAGTATATGTTTGTATTTGTAATACAGGAATATTGCCAGATCAGTCAAACAAAATATGCTGTGAAACATTGGAAGTATTTCCTCCTGAACTAATCTTCTTAAAGTACTTAGTGATGTATGTTCCAAGTTAAATCTTTAGAAGTCATTTGCATTGAGCCATCACCTTAGGCTTCATTGTTTGTATTTTATCTAGGAAACTACCAGACCAGAAAAAACAAGATTGTTGGGGTTTTTTTTTTAATTATTCCTTCAGATTTGTTTGAGTTTATCAGATTTTGGCTCTTCATTTGACACAAACACAGTATCCTAATTACTGCTTTCTTTCCTTCACGTGCAGACTGCCTACACCTCTGAGTGGGCAAGAAGCCGTCAAGCAGTGCATGCTTTAATTTTGGCTTTCAGTGGCACATGAGCTCCACAATGGCTGATGGACCCGGACTGTCCCGTGCCCTGTGCCGGACAGGCCGGCCCTGCCTTCCCGCTGCTGCAGCGCAGAGCTGCCGGGAGGCGGCAGCACCCCATCTGGCCTGGCTTCTGAACCGCATCGCCTGTACTCATGAAATTATCAGCATCTCATTTGTGCAGCTGTCTGTGTAGCACTAGCGCCTGCGGAATATTGCTGTTCTTGTTATCCATCACGGCTGTGCTTATTTGTGAAGATCAGCATGTGTGAAGTGTTGAGAGTGCGAGTCAAATGCTAGTTACTGATCCAAGTCAGGTTGAAGACAAGCAGTGTGGTTCTTAAAATGGCACAAGCAAGGTCTTCTTCAGAACTTAGCCTGGTAATAAATTATGAGGGTCATAGTTCTTAAAGCCCCGTAATTATTGATTATAACATGAGATGCTGTTCTTTAAAAACATAAAGGCATTCTTTTAGCAAACTGCTGAAAGGTTGAAAAGATCCCATCCTGGAAACACTTTGCAATATTCTTCCTGTTCTGAAAATGGCGCCTGTTCATAAAAATTGATTCCAGAACCCAAGGTGCATTTACTCTTTGGAAGTATTAAACCTTCTGTTGAATCACACAGAGTATTTATTCCTAAGAAAGTAAAGGTTCTGTTCTTCAGCTCTCATTAATGTTTATAGACAACAAACACTTGTTCTTTTCTGGTATCTGTCTCTGTGAATGTTTCTCCATGTTCTTAGTTTCCTGTCAAGGTAACTCTCCAAAGGACTGTAGAAAATCAGTCTTCGTGGAGGCCCTCTGTGCTATGGAGCTGACTGTATTATTATTGTTGTTGTTACCCAACTGACTACAAATGGCTCACAACCCCAGACAGTGGGGCAGCATTTCTGATCTGCTGGAAGGTGGTATCTCCATTTTTAATTGAGCATCTTGAATTTTGTTTCTTTCAGGGAGCATTGTGAGCGTGGGAGATCCTAAGAAGAAATACACTCGATTTGAAAAAATTGGCCAAGGGTAAGTCCAATCACAGTTACGTATACAAAAACATGGGCCACGTGTTTTGCTGGTGTAATTTCAAGTGTGAAGTCGGGCAAGCGCCAAACATGTTCAGACACTAGGTTTAGATTCAGATTCTCCTGTCTCTCAGTACTGATCAGAATTTATAACTGTGGTCAGAAGGCATCATCAAAGACAACTTGATGCTGGCAATATCTTGTCTGCAGCAAGGAGCAGGACCTGGAAGATCTACTGTCCCTCAAGTGTGTGGCACCTGTTTGCTTATTTTCTTAGGAGAAATCATTTTTGTATGTCTCAAAATAATATGGCCACGCTAAAGAAAGGAGAAGAAACTTTATTCCCTAAAAGAGTAACCTACCACCTGATAGTTGTCAGATAAATAACAGTTCTCAATAACATTTCTTTCAAATATTTTGCTTAAAAAAATATTCAGTGATCAGGATTATAACCACATAGTTTAGAAACTGAAACCAGAGATTAAATAATAAGCTCGCTTTTCTAGCAGAGGCAGTAAAAAACAAAAATTCAGTAACAAACACGGTGTCGATGCACAAAGTGTGTGATGAGAAAATGCATCATCTGCCTGATGGCAGACCACTCATGGATCCTGCAGGTTTTAGGAGCTTACTGAAAATAATCAACCGAGCTATTCCCTTTTGAAACCCAACTTCGCTTACTGTAAATAGGAAATATTTCAAATCAATCCTATGTGAGAAGGCAAGAACAGAAGAAATTACATCAAAATTGGGTATCTGACTTGCATTTTAAATACGGACAGACTCCCTGCTCGGTCAAAGTTTTCTTGGCTGTGTTGTAAATCCAGGACGGCTAGCGCCATTTGTGTAACACCAGGATCACACTGCTGTCAGTGTATGACAGAAGCTATTTACTGACATCAGGAGATATTTTTCTGCCTTAACTGTTGATGAGGTTTGAACTCAGGGTAGCATGTTGCTGGCCTAGAACTGATACATACTGCAGAAAGCCAGACACACTCATGCTCTTTCTCTAGCAGGCTTTATCATAGATATATCTTGTTTGGTAGGGTACTTGTGCGAAGGTGTTTCTGCTCCATTCATTGTATGAAGACCCTTTTTTCAGATTCCAGCTTGCTTTCTACCCGAAGCTTTGGTTCTTACTGTCATTTGTAAAATGTCAGTGGACACTTGGAGCTGTGCCAGTATCTCAAAAGATAAGTGTCAGCTGAAGAAGTGGGAGAATAAACATGCGTGTGAAGCAGATTATTGCTGTCACCGTGAGAATATGACCATCACCCTCACATTCTTTTATTTTGACAGTCCTAGGAGTGAGCTTTTACAAAGGTGCCTCAACAACTGGTGGAAAGACAAGTGGCTAATATCTGGCCTAAAAGGGTATCTAAATTGATTTCCTCCAGCTTTTAGTACAGCCTGAAGATTGCATGCCCTTCTTACAGAGGAGTGAGTGTGCTGCCGTAACCAGCTCATGACTGCAATGCCGCAGGTCAATTTACAGTGATGGGGAAAGATCCTAAAGAAAAAAATCATCACAAAGGTAATCAAACAGGATGATCAGGAGGAACCGGACTGCTGCATGGCTGGAGTTAGCGTGTCTGTCTGCAGCAGGGCTGGGCTGAGATGCACTGCCTCAGATGGTGCTGATGGTGCTTAGTTGGTGCAGGTGCCAGTTCCTGAGCTGCCTGCCTTTGCAATGAGTTGGCTACAATTATGCCAAAGGCACTACTAGTGTTGGAAGTGAGTAGTTTTTTAGTAGCTGCTAATGAGAGCACTGCAAGGCAGCAAGAGACGTGGCTGCTCAGAGAACTGCAGGTAGAGAGCAACTTCTTACATAAGGAAAAGCAACTTAACCGGCACGTAGCAGTCGATGGCTGCATACAGCTGGTAACTTAATAAACAGTGTGATGGTTTTACAGCCATTTTGCAGTGAACGGTAGTCAGCAGGCCTGTACTGAAGGAACAGGTCAGCTTCAGTGCTGAGTCTCTGGTTTGTCATCTGTCTCCGGTTGAGGACTGAAAATGGTGCTGACACCAGAGGAAACTTAGTTAACTAGTGCTTGATAAAGAGGCTGTGTTTGCTCAAGCAGTGTTAGCTCTTGCTAGAAAGACAAATTAATATGGAGCCATGAGCAGCCTGGGTTCAGGTTGTATTTTTTAACTTGTACTGCACTGCATCAGTGACACAGATCTAATTGTGGGCCCTGGTACTTATAGAATCATAGAATCATTTAGGTTGGAAAAGACCTTTAAGATCATCACGTCCAACCGTTAACCTAGCACTGCCAAGTCCACCCCTAAACCATGTCCCTAAGCACCACATCTACACGGCTTTTAAATACCTCCAGGGATGGGGACTCCACCACT